CTGGGAGCGCTTGAGGTTCCTGATCCTGTATTCCCTGGAATGCAGGCGGGAGAGATACATGATTATATACACCTGGAAAATCCTAGAGGGACTAGTACCGAACTTACACACGAAAATCACTCGCTACGAAAGCAAAAGACTTGGCAGACGATGCAACATCCTTCCAATGAAAAGCAGGGGTGGCACTAGCACATTAAGAGACCATACAATAAGTGTCAGGGGCCCGAGACTGTTCAACTGCCTCCCAGCATACATAAGGGGAATTACCAACAGATCCCTGGCAGTCTTCAAGCTGGCACTGGACAAGCACCTAAAGTCGGTTTCTGACCAGGGCTGTGGCTCGTACGTTGGTTTGTTGCAGCCAGCAGTAACAGCCTGGTTGATCAGCTCTGATCCCCCAGGAGGCCTGGTCACAGCCCGGGCCGGGGGGGCGTTGCCCCCCGGGAAAACCCCTTCCAGGAAAAACCCCAGGTATCCTCAGAACCTTATTTACATCTTTACCCATCTTCCACTTTTATATTGAACATACCTCCCTATTTGTCCTCATTTGGGGGTTTAGGTTCAAGGGTTAAGAAAAAAAGGGCATGCATCAGGCCCACTACCCCGCTGGGAGGGCCAAGTCACCCACGGCCTAAGCTAGGGGAGGTCCAAGTCACCTATGGCCTAAGTAGGCAGGTCCCAAATCCCTTTGGCCTAAGCTAGGCAGGTCCAAGTCACATCTACTTAAGAAGGAAAGGCAGCATAACCTTCATCCCATTGCTGAATGAAAAGCATCGATTTAGCTCTTTCAAAATTTAAAAATAAAAAATAGAGTTCTTTGGAATATTAAACTTGGCCAAATTTTTGCTGTATATCTACTTTTTTCTTGCCATTGAGGTACAATGAAAAATCTATAAAATAAGTTTAGTGTTAATTAAAAATTTTTCCCTTTTGCGAGGTAATTTTTGTTATTTTAGCTATGCTTTCTTTAAAATGCGTTTTTATTAAATATTTTTCAAGTTGAATATTACATATTTGCAGGGGTGGTTTATAAAATAAAATGAAAGCTGATGACCCTGGAAAACAATGATGTTGACCACTCAATAATAATGGGGTGGGTTGTAAAACCCCCCGTCGTGATAGTAAAGATGGTATTTTGGCATTAAATGCCCCCCAAAGGTAATTACGGTTTGGGAACAAAAAAGTCAAAGGGTTTTTCCTTAAAAACTTCATTTAAAAAGTTTTGGTTGTTTTTTTGATAACGTATTTTTAATTCTAAATTATCTCATTGGTTTTTTAAAAACATAAACGATTATTTCAGTAGATTTTAAGGACACTTTTAAAAAAATTACATGAAATTTTTTTCAATGCCTGCTTAAATGGACAAATATTTTTTGACTATCTTCTCTCTCGACCGGTTTTTATATTACTGAAAGCAGTGAAGGTTTTACGAGGATAGTGAGGCTCAATAGAGTATGTAGGAAAAGGGAAATTTTTTCCCAGTAAAAGTAGGCCTTAGACAAGGATGTGTGATGTCACCGTGGTTGTTTAATATATTTATAGATGGGGTTGTAAGAGAAGTAAATGCGAGGGTTTTGGCAAGAGGCATGGAGTTAAAAGATAAAGAATCACACACAAAGTGGGAGTTGTCACAGCTGCTCTTTGCTGATGACACTGTGCTCTTGGGAGATTCTGAAGAGAAGTTGCAGAGATTGGTGGATGAATTTGGTAGGGTGTGCAAAAGAAGAAAATTAAAGGTGAATACAGGAAAGAGTAAGGTTATGAGGATAACAAAAAGATTAGGTGATGAAAGATTGAATATCAGATTGAGGGAGAGAGTATGGAGGAGGTGAACGTATTCAGATATTTGGGAGTGGACGTGTCAGCGGATGGGTCTATGAAAGATGAGGTGAATCATAGAATTGATGAGGGAAAAAGAGTGAGTGGTGCACTTAGGAGTCTGTGGAAACAAAGAACTTTGTCCTTGGAGGCAAAGAGGGGAATGTATGAGAGTATAGTTTTACCAACGCTCTTATATGGGTGTGAAGCGTGGGTGATGAATGTTGCAGCGAGGAGAAGCTGGAGGCAGTGGAGATGTCATGTCTGAGGGCAATGTGTGGTGTGAATATAATGCAGAGAATTCGTAGTTTGGAAGTTAGGAGGAGGTGCGGGATTACCAAAACTGTTGTCCAGAGGGCTGAGGAAGGGTTGTTGAGGTGGTTCGGACATGTAGAGAGAATGGAGCGAAACAGAATGACTTCAAGAGTGTATCAGTCTGTAGTGGAAGGAAGGCGGGGTAGGGGTCGGCCTAGGAAGGGTTGGAGGGAGGGGGTAAAGGAGGTTTTGTGTGCGAGGGGCTTGGACTTCCAGCAGGCATGCGTGAGCGTGTTTGATAGGAGTGAATGGAGACAAATGGTTTTTAATACTTGACGTGCTGTTGGAGTGTGAGCAAAGTAACATTTATGAAGGGATTCAGGGAAACCGGCGGGCCGGACTTGGGTCCTGGAGATGGGAGGTACGGTGCCTGCGCTCTGAAGGAGGGGTGTTAATGTTGCAGTTTAAAAACTGTAGTGTAAAGCACCCTTCTGGCAAGACAGTGATGGAGTGAATGATGATGAAAGTTTTTCTTTTTCGGGCCACCCTGCCTTGGTGGGAATCAGCCGGTGTGATAATAAAAAATAATATATATGAATACATATATGAATACAATAAGTGTCAGGGGCCCGAGACTGTTCAACTGCCTCCCAGCATACATAAGGGGGATTACCAACAGACCCCTGGCAGTCTTCAAGCTGGCACTGGACAAGCACCTAAAGTCTGTTCCTGACCAGCCGGGCTGTGGCTCATACGCTGGTTTGCGTGCAGCCAGCAGTAACAGGCTGGTTGATCAGGCTCTGATCCACCAGGAGGCCTGGTCACAGACCGGGCCGCGGGGGCGTTGACCCCCGGAACTCTCTCCAGGTAAACAATATCACTTTACCAGGTCTTGGTGCCAACTTTTTGCACTCGACTAAGTATATTTAGGCACAGGTACACATAAATACAATTATCATAGTGTAAATTACCTAGGATAACCTAAAAGAAAGTAAAAGTGACTTGCTTCCTTTTGGATTCTTGTTATTTCTACTTGTCCATCTTGCTTTTTTAAGTTGCTCAAGTTGTTAGTTTTGCTCACACTATTTTGCAGAATGTTTCACTCATCTACCCCTGCAAGGGAAGTTTCTTGATGCTGGTGAGGAGCTCTTGATCAGAGGACTTGGACTTTTCCTCCTCTTGGATCGAGTCGGAGTGCCTCCTTTTTCCCTGTAACTGACCACTAAGAGTTTAGAGCTTCCCAATGAATATGTAATCTACTCATATACAATTACCCTCCATTTCCAAACCTGTTTTCTAAATCTGAATTAACCAAACTTTAATCCATCATTTTAAATTCTTTCTTTGTTAGGCTGGAATATTGCTGCACACTAACAGCACCTTTTAAGGCAGGTGAAATTGCTGACCTAGAAAATTACAGAGAACTTCACGGCCGCAAACGGAGATAAAACACCTCAAATTTCTGGGAGCGCTTGAGGTTCCTGTCCCGTATTCCCTGGAATGCAGGCGGGAGAGATACGTTTTATTTCCATGAATTACTTAACTTTAATCATGTCGTTTGGGCTTATTTTGGGAAACGGGTACATTTTGCGTGACTCTTAAGACTTCAGTGGGATTATATACCCATAGGTAGCACTGGTAGTGGTCAGCCGTTAAAAAACTGGATTAACAGTCTGTAGGGTGATAAGGCCTGGAGATAAGGGCACCTGTTTGCCATGAACATGTTTCTGGATTTATTACAAAGCATTTCCTTAATTATAAAGGAGTAAGGGAAAGTCTGTTTAGGTATTGCAAGGGTTTGAGCTTCAGGGAATAGAAATGAAAGAAGTTAGTGTTTTTGAGGTGGAAGTAAATGAAGGGAAACTGAGAGTGAGTGTGTATCTAGAATAGCAAAATGTAAGGCTGCTAACAACAGCAAGAATATAACTAAGTACTTGCTGAAACTGCTAAAACCTAGTGCAGGAAGGCAAGTGGTAGAATTAACACAGATAGCCCAAATATATGGACTAATGATTAGACAACTATATTGATAACTTGACTCAGGAAATCGTAATGACACGATTGCAAACAAACCATACCACGGGCAGAAATAGAACCCGCACTCAGAGAGTCTCGAAACTCCAGACCGTCGCATTAGCCACTGGACCAGCTAGCCACAATAAGATTCGTCCAACTAGGTATATTTCTACACCATAGGAAGGTTAGCATAGGTACCACTGTGACCACAAATGCAAGTTTTTACAGACGAATCATGTTAACGGCTTTGAGGGGACTTGAGCTAGAGTTCGTCACGGCCACTCTAGCTGGAGATTCGTCTGTAAAAACTTGCATTTGTGGTCAGTGGTGCCTATGTTAACCTTCCTATGGTGTAGAAATATACCTGGTTGGATGAATCTTATTGTGGCTAGCTGGTCCAGTGGCTAACACGATGGTCTGGAGTTCTGAGACTCTCTGATCGCGGGTTCTATCCCCGCCCATGGTATGGTTTGTTTGCAATTGTCATTACAATTTCGTGAGTCATGTTAACGGCTTTGAGGGGACTTGAGCTAGAGTTCGTCACGGCCACGCTAGCTGGAGATTCGTCTTTAAAAACTTGCATTTGTGGCCACAGTGGTGCCTATGCTAACCTTCCTATGGTGTAGAAATATACCTAGTTGGACAAATCTTATTGTGGCTAGCTGGTCCAGTGGCTAATGCGACGGTCTGGAGTTTTGAGACTCTCTGATCGCGGGTTCTATCCCTGCCCATGGTATGGTTTATATTGATAACTTGCCTTACTAAAATGTTTTGAGAATATTATTCATATAGGAATGAGAATGTATTATTGATTACAATTTTTTAAGAATCTTAGATTTTTTTTTTTTTCCCCTGTACTGTATTAGGAAATGTAACTTATTGATTGATTTTCCACAAATGCACGTAGGGAGGATTTGACAAGGCAGTATTTATGCACACTAGAAGAGGCAAGTGAGGGTCTGTCAGGTGAATTTGAACAATTAAAAAGAATTGGAAATGTTGCTGCACCTCTATCTCGTCCACTGAATGTCTGTCCTCTGAAGGTAAGCAATTTTTTTTTTTTATATATTTTGTCCTATGACATTTACTCCATCTACCTTTTGTTAATCCCATGCATCTCACTTTGTCTTTTTTTTATCTACTAATTTCTTCTAAAAGCTTATTAATAAGGAATCTATTATATTTGCTGTTGTCTTCATCAGCTTGTTTCATTCTCCTAGCCATGAATCTCTCAACAACAGTCATAGTAGGAGACTGCTGCAGACAAGTTTCTGACAGCACTTTCTAGTCGTACCTGAACTTGGTTTGCCCACTCGTCCTTTCATTTACTACAGACTTAAGAATTAAATCTTAATTCCTTGACTACCCATTCTCTAAAGACATGTTTGCTATCTGGAAGGATTATAATGTATATTCGAGGCATGTTGTGTTGAACATACAGCATCTTCCGCAGAATAGTGTGAGCAGTCATGTGATTGGATCAGCTGTGTCCACAGTATTGCTGGTCATGCACTCCATTCTCATTCTCTAGCCTTCATGTGTGGTAAATCTATGAAGTGTGAGGTGAACACTTCAGTATTGAATATGTATATTAACCTACTTCATTTCTGAAAGGGCTAAAAATACAGTGAACCCTCTTCATTAACTGACCAATAGAGGAGGGGTTATACATTATTACTGATTGTCCAGAACTTCTGAATTGTGAAATCAATTTTTCTCTGTCATCCAGTCATCTTCTGAACAAACAGACTTGATCAGCTGGTTAAGAAAACTGGGCATTAGGAATACAGGTATTGTAACCTGTAGTACTAGAGTGCAGTAATGTTCTGTAATTTTATCATACTGTACATAATTTACAGTAACATTGCTTACCTCTTCATGGTGAAGAAATATGTAAACTGCCATGTTCAATAGAGGAGAGACTAAATAAATTTTATTCTAAGTCAGAGAAGCTGTGAAACGTTACTAGTGAAAATAATGTTGATAGCTGAGAAGACATGCCATCGAGATGCCAGATTTAACCTTCTTTATTAGTTGAAGTTTCTGCTAACTGAGAACTACAAACTTTCTCAATACCCCTACTTGCTTTAGGAGCCAATGTTAATTGCACTTCATTTAATATGTTAATAAAGTCTCGCTAAATAGAAAGAAAATTAAAGACTGAATGACTAGTCTCTGTGTGAGCACAATCAGTCAACTGCCACAGGTGACCTTCAGTTCAGGGAACAATGAAAACAGGTTCTGGACAAGACTGCACTGGCACATACCAGACATAAATCAAAGTCATTGAACTTGGTCTAGTACTTCAGAAGACAACTATGGACCAAACCAAGGTTTCTACACGTCTCCCCAATTTTATTGGTCCAAAATTGTTAAAATATGTTAATGAGACGTTTTAGTGTATATGAATGTTAATTCATTAATTAAAAGTGTGTCCCGATTTGAAGTAGTACATGATACTCTTCTTTGTTGATAATTGGAAATATACCAGCAACCTTTTGCATTACTTGTTCAGTCTTGATTAGACCATAAAACTGATCTGTCAAAAGAAAAAAACACAAGATGGGGAACTTAAAATACTCTACATTCATGCTGGTATGTCTTTGTGAATTTGCAGTTGATTAGTGACTTCTTTAGCAACCCTCTTAGATTTTTCAAGTTTATCAAGGTTAGCAAAATGTCACCCAATGAATTATTAATCTAGTCACCTTTAACCCTTTGGCTGTTTTGGTCGTATATATACGTCTTGCATTCCACCGTTTTTGACGTATATACAGTATATACTCATAAATTCTAGCGACTTCAAATCAAGCAGGAGAAAGCTGGTAGGCCCACATGTGAAAGAATGGGTCTGTGTGGTCAGTGTGCACCATATAAAAAAAATTCTGTAGCACGCAGTGCATAATGAGAAAAAAAAACTTCGACTTTTTTTTTTTTTATTATTAAAATGCCGACTTTGTGGTCTATTTTCGTATAGTACTTATGGCTGTATTCTCATTTTCTTGGTCTCATTTGATAGAATGGAAAACATATTATAGAAATAGAGGTGATTTTGATTGGTTTTACTATGAAAGGAACCTTGAAATGGAGCTCAAAGTAGGGGAAATGTTTGATTTTTGCCGATGTTCAAAAGTAAACAAATGATGTCATTTTCCAATAAATGTCCAAGTAGCCATTCTAATATGCAGTCATGAATGGGTTAACATTATTTATACAATTATTACAATATTGCAGTAGTCTGCATAACAGTAAATCTTCTGTTTTTTTCTTTTTTAATAAAAATTCAAAATGGAAAGAAAGAGTAATAACAGAGGGGCCTGGAGATGTGACTGATGAACAAAGAAAATGTTATTTTAGAGCCAGGAATGTCTGCATTGGTCATTCTGGACCCTATTTTGAAATTGTCATGTTTTTTAATTTTCGTGAAATTGGCCAAATTGCAAATTTCTGACCATGTTATTGAGTAGTTGAAATCGGTAAATGGGCAGTTTCTTGTACTCAGTCGATAGAAAAAATGGAATTCTAAAGAAATAGCTATGAGTTTGGTCGACTGGAACAATGGAATTAGCTGAAAATAGGCCTCAAAGTGGGCAAAATCGCCAATTCGTAAATATCGCCAAGGTCGCTAACTTCGCTAGAGCGTAATTCCGTCAGTTTTCCATAAAATTTTGTTCTTTTGGTGTCATAACAATCGGGAAAAGATTCTGTATTATTTCATAAGTTTTTTTTTTTTTTAAATTTTGCGACACCAGGAGACACCTCCAGGATTTCGGGTTGCGACAGTCAAGGGGTTAAAGAAAAATTAAATTCTTCTGAAAACAGTTATGCACCACAAAATTCTAGGTTCAGCAGAAAAATTAGGCTTGGCCAACCAAACTTGATGCTTTATTCATAGGAATTGTTGATTTGTTTTTGTTATGCAATATAATTTTTTTTTTTTATAGAATGTTGATGTCAAAGTGAAAATTCCTGAAAACCAGACTTCAGCCTCACTTGAAGCAGAGTCTAAATCGAGACATTCTTCAGGCCTTATGACGGGTATACCCTTGATCAGAATTGATGGTTTGAGTGGTAAGTTTATAAGGAAGCTTGGCATTTTTTGTTTTGATTGATCAATTGAATGATTATTCAGTTGGGCATTGGTACTGATTTTATTTTTTCTCTAAACAGATTTGTCATCAAGCAGATTTTTAGTTGACCATACTAATTTGTCAACCGGTGAATTAACCAGAGCACAACTTGAATGGGATCATCTCCGAGATACTAAGCAACCAGGTACTACTGTACTATAGTGCTGCTTATATATTTTTTATGAATTAAAATGTTTTTGTCCACACAATTTAAAATTTTGGCATTGTGTACCGTCTTGTTGCAGGCTAAGTACTATTGGGTAACTTGTTTCTTATTTGTAGCGTATATTGGCTATTACAGCTTCAAATTCAGTAGTTAAGTAAGCCCATATTCAGAAAATGAAATTTCGATATTATATATGTTTTCTCTGATGCAAATTTTTCAAATAGTAATGTAATCACAGGTATACTTGAGCAAAAATTTTAAATTAGTAAAGTATAATTTGTAAATACTAGATACTTCTTTTTTGTTAGGTGAAACCTGTACTTGCCTACATGTGGTTGCAGGGGTCGAGACTTCCGCTCCTGGCCTTTCATCTTTCAACTAGACCGCTACTCGGGCCTCCCTCTCCCTGCTACATGAGCTTTATCATACTTCGTCTTAAAACTATATATGGTTCCCGCCTCCACTACATCGCTTGTCAGACTATTCCACTTCCTAACAATTCTGTGGCTGAAGAAATACTTCCTAACATCCCTTTGACTCATCCGAGTCTTCCACTTCCAATTGTGACCCCTTGTTTCTGTGTCCCATCTATAGAACATCCTGTCTCTGTCCACCTTGTCTATTTCACGCAGTATTTTGTACGTTGTTATCGTGTCTCCCTAACCCTCCTGTCTTCCAGTGTCATCAGACCGATTTCCATTGACCTTTCATCATAGGACATTCACTTTATTCTGAGTAAGAGTAGTAGTATTGCTGTTTAATACAGTATGAACATTGGTATTATTGTGCTTTTTTTTTCCATACTGTAATGCTATAAAAGCAAGGAAGTGGGTACTGTTCATGGTGTTAATTTTGCATTACTAGTGTTGCCCTATATTCACAAGATAATATAATTTTTTTATTAGATGATTACAAGCTGAATATGGAAGGCAAGTCCCTTGCAGTAATTCAGACGGATGTTGAGGAATATGGGGACTCTGATCTTAGTCAGGGAGAAGTTGAAGACTTCATTCTACCTGGTAAGAAAACAGCATAAATTGTTTTATTGCTTTAGCAAACTCGTTTTTTTTTTTCTCTCATGTTGGCAGTCTCATACTGAGGAAGGGTGACCCAAAAAAGAAAACAATTTTATCATCATGTCTTTGCATAGGTGCCCAGATATAACAGTTTAAATGTCACTCCAGACAGCCAATATCCCAAACCTCTCCTTTCTTTAAAAATGTAGGCATTGTACCTCCCACCTGGACTCAAGTCGGGCTAACAAGTTTTCCTGAATCCCTTTACAAAATATTACCCTGCTCACACTCCAACAGCTCGTCAAGTCCCAAAGACCATTCGTCTCCATTCACTCATATCTAACACATTCACATGTCCTCTGCATATCCAGGCCCCTTGTACACAAAACCTTTTACCCCTCTCTCCATCCTTTCCTAGGATGACCCCAACCCCTCCTCCCCTCCATTACAAATTTATGTATCCTCCAAGTCATTCTATTTTTGCTCCATCCTCTCTAAATATCCAAACCACTTCATTATCTCTTCTTCAGCCCTCTAACTAATACTTTTTGTAACTCCACACCTCTTCCTAATTTCCACACTACGAATTCTCTGCATAATATTTACACCACACATTGCTCTTAGACATGACATCACTGCCTCCAGCCTCCCTCTCTCTGCAGCATTCACAACTCATGCTTCACACCCATATAAAAGTGGTGGTACCACTATACTCTCATACATTCCCTTCTTTGCCTCCATGGATAACATTTTTTGTCTCCATGATGCCTCAATGCACCACTCGGCTTTTTGTTCCTTCATCAGTTCTGGGGTTAACCTTGTCCTTCATAAACCCATCTGTCGACAAATCTACTCCCAGATATCTGAACAGTCACTTCTTCCATACTCCCTCCCTCCAATGTGATATCCAGTTTTTCTTTACCTAATTCATTTGATACCATCAACACATTATTCTTATCTATGTTTACTTTGAACTTTACACATTATTATTAATGAATACTGTATAATTCATAAAATCCCAAGTAAACAGGTGTAGATGTAAGCATCCTCTAGGGGTATAAGTCATGAGAAATAGGTTAGTGGTACATGAATGGTATACAGTTCTGACAAGATGAAAGATTAGATAAATGTACAATATCTGCCTATCTTTATTTGTAGACATTTTGCTGTTCAGTGTCTTTATCAGTACAATTTGGAGGACATTGTCCTTGATAAAGACACTGGATAGCAAAATGTCTACAAATAAAGATACATAATATGCAAAACAACCACTGTGGAAGAGTAGTGAAATTACAAGCACTTTCGTGACTACTCACATTGTCAAGGAGCTATCAATGTTGCACATGTCTAATTTTTCAATAGGTATAAGTGTTATGTATGCAAGAATTGTGGCACTGCTGTTTAGAGAACTTGGGTCACTTATTGGCACATCCAAGTATTTACTGCTTTACTTTTTTGGTTAATCATGTCTTATATAATAGAACAAATAATTATTATACGATATATTAAGCGACAGTTGTTTAAAAGCTGTTGTATTCATTGTAAACTTCCACATTAGAGCAAAAAAATATTTTTATTTTGAATATGCAAGTGTTCCATCATGTAAGCATCTGAGCCTTGAACATTTGATGGTGCTGCTGTACCTCATCTTCATCCCTCTCATTTGCTCTCACATGCATTAGATTTTTCACTTCCTTTTCATCTCTCATCTGCTTGTGCTTTCTTGCTCCATCCTATCACACTTGTGGACTTTCTCACTCTTGTACTGTCACTTGTGCTCATGTTGTGTAGGCTGATGAATAAGGAACTAGAGATTATAAAATAAATAGAATCATGGTAGGGGATTAAACCTCTGTTTTGAGTAACAGGCCCTGTTCTGTATCATTCAGCCATGATGATTTACAATAGGAAAGTTCTAAAACTGGCTGAATGGTACAGCATAGTTCCTGCTACTTGTAGGATCTTGGTTTGATCCCTGACCATTGTTGTTTATTCATGGATAGTCCTTCACTAGGACTAGCTAGCTTTGTGTATTACAGAGTTAGAAATTCGGAGGCAACATGTCCTGACTGTCAGTGAAAAAAATGATTAAAGCCAGTATTTATGGTAGATACTGAAGTCTCTCAAAAATGAGAAATTGTAATTAGTAGTTTGAGAATAAGATACAAGAGTATGTGTAAGCCAGAGTAGTTTGGTAAAGCTCTTTCTGTATCTGATTAAAGATAAAGAATAAATTTGATGTACACCTCAATGGGCAAGTTTCTCATACAAACTATTCTCATAATATAAATGGCAGCATTTATGCACGTTAATCTCATAGTCTTGGTTTTAATCACTTAATTACAAGAATATCTGAGTGGTATGAATTTCAACTATCCAGTATTTGCTAATTTGTTTAGATTATTTTTGGGCTGTCTTTGTGTAATTCCAACTTTCAGTATATTTGTAGGAATAAAATAAACTGCATGATAGGCTGCAAATATTGCAGATCTGCAGCTCATATCTTATGTTTATTTTTCAGGATTAGATAAAAAGTATCTGGAACAAAGTCTGGAGGTTATGAGGTGTCAGGATCTTAGCAGACCTGAAGATCACTCTTATGAAGTCTCCACTATCTCACAAATGAGTAGGTCACTTTGTTTTAAACTTAATACATATTACCATTTTTTTTTCATTCATATAAAAGAACATTTGAAGCAGATTTACCCTCGGCTATTTGCTCCTAGCTATACCTAAAATTATATTAATTTTTTCTTCTATTAATAGTCATTTTCTGTGTTCAGATTTCATAAACCCCTCCTGAAGTAATAATGTTAGTAAACTTCTTGTTACACCTGCTATAAACTCGTGATCACTTTGCCCAGTTTGTTTACGGCTTTCTGCTTAGGCTCTGCACTTTATGGCTACCAAGTTATGTCAGTGAAAAATTTTTGCAATATCGTGATTATTCAAAAAAAATAATAAATTTATTTGCTTCTTGAGAGTGGAGGAAAAATGATAGACATGCTTTTTGTTCAGTGTTTAGTTTAAATACCAAATGTATTCAGTGGAACTTTAGGTAGTTTTAACCCTTTCAGGGTTTCGGCCGTACTGGTACGGCTTACGCCCCAGGGTTTTTGACGTACTGGTACGCCTAAATTCTAGCGCCCTCAATCTAGTGAGAGAAAGCTGGTAGGCCTACATATGAAAGAATGGGTCTACGTGGTCAATGTGCGCAGTATAAAAAAAATCCTGCAGCACACAGCGCGTAATGAGAAAAAAAAAACTGTTTTTGGATTAAAACCGACTTTGCACTGTATTTTCGTATGGTGTTTATTGTTGTATTCTAGTTTTCCTGGTCTCATTTTATAGAATGAAAGACATAATACAGAAATTGAGATGATTTTGACTGGTTTTACAATGAAAAGTGCCTTGAAATTGAGCTCAAAGTAGCAGAAATGTTCGATTTTTACCAAAGTTCAAAAGTAAACAAATCATGCCAGGCGTCCAATACATATCAGCTGGTGAGTCTGATATTCTTTCACAAGTGCGCTGATATTATTTATACCATTTCTACACTAATGCAGTAGTCTGCATAACAGTAAATCTTCTATTTTTTGTAAGAATAAAAATTCGAAGTGGAAAGCCAAAGAAATATAAGAAGGGCCTGGGGATGTGATTAATGAACAGAGGAAATGTTATTTTAGTGCCAGGAATGTCTTGTTTATTCTGGACCTAATTTGGAAATTGGCATCTTTTAAAATTTGTGTGAAATTGGCAAAATTGCTAAATTCTGACCATTGTATTGGATAGTTGAAATTGGTAAATGGGTGATTTCTTGTACTCATTCGATAGAAAAAATGGAGTTCTAGCGAAATAGTTATGATTTTTGTTGACTAGTACATTGGAATTGGCTGAAAATAGGGTTCAAAGTGGGCAAAATTGCCAATGCGTAAACATCGTCGAGACTGCTAACTTCGCGAGAGCATAATTCCGTAAGTTTTCCATCAAATTTCATACTTTTGGTGTCAATATGATCGGGAAAAGATTCTCTATCTTTTCATAAGTGTTAGTCTTCTATATCCAGAGATAGTGTACAAGGTGATTGATAAAATCGCAGCTGGCAACAAGCTTTTATCTGTTACTTACCAAACAGTCAATCAGTAAGAGGTCCAAATGTAAGAAAATAAATGCAAAGGACAGTGCTGAGAAGAAAAAGATGCTGATTTCCATGGACTTAGCCAGGCAATACCAGCTAAGTACATCTATGATATGTAGATACTAAAGCTGTATCAGTTATGTTCAGTGATTAAACAAAACAAAAAAATTGTATCAGATAAGTTCAGCGATCAAACAAAACAATGTTGTTGGAGGTTTACAGGGCCACTGACATCATACACCACACCCTCAACCTCCCCCACCATCTCTGCTCCAAGTGTGTAAGTACATGTACACTTGATATAAACAGTTTAACATTTCTTTACATTCTGTAATTTTTTTTTTTTTCAACAAGTCGGCTGTCTCCCACCGAGGCAGAGTGATCCAAAAAAGAGAGAAAATCCCCAAAAAGAAAATACTTTCATTCAACACTTTCACCACACTCTCACATTATCACTGTTTTTGCAGAGGTGCTCAGAATACAACAGTTTAGAAGCATGCACATGTAAAGATACACAACATATCCCTCCCAACTGCCAATATCCCAAACCCCTCCTTTAAAGTGCAGGCATTGTACTTCCCATTTCCAGGACTCAAGTCCGACTATATGTAATGTATTATGATTTATTATGTTTTTATATATGATATTTCTGCAATTAGCCTCGTAAATACTCCGTTTTCTCTTACAATAAGAGTCAAAGTTAGACAGGAAATGGTGGACGCTTGCGACGCTGCCTCTGCCACCGTATTATGGCCTATTTTATTCATTCTAGAGTAAGTATCATGTTTCGTTGTTAATTATATTGTTTATTATGTCATATTAGATGAATTGTGATAGATAAATAAGCTGTACAGTTGATATTAGTGTCATATTCAAGTATTTTGTCTTGTCTCCAGAGTATAGGAATGGATTAATGGCTTGTCAATTTATTTAAATGAGGAAAATTGATTTGATATACAAGTAAGTTGAATTATGAGCTAGGTCATGGAACGGATTAAACTCGTAAGTCAAGGTTACACTGCATATCTACGAGCACAGTATAGCACTGGATTTTTTGCATTATCCTAGGTAATTTACACTGTACAGTTGTATTTGTGTACCAGTGAGAGACACACAGAGATGGATAGACAGAGGCACAGACACACACACATAGATACAGAGACAGACATACAGAGATAGAGCTAGCCAGCCAGCCAGCCAGCCAGCCTGCCTGCCAAATGCTTATTACACGTTCCAGAATTTTCTCTTTACTTGGGGGATAGGTTATAAGACATTCTGGAAGGGTGTTGCACAAATGTTGCACATTGGTTATTATCAGGGTTTTAGATATTTCCTTGACCACTTGTGGCCACATCCACCTTAAAGCCACTAAAGCCACTAAACTTGGAGTCAACATCACTTTCCTCTTAAATGGGGTGTGTTAATGACACGACATCAGTGAATCCTTGGTGTCTGCGGTGCCGTTTTCTCAAGCTAGCGCTCAGTTTAACTGGTGCTCCCACAAGGTACTAAGTGGTCCCAGATTTTTTTAATAATGCGAACACCGAGTGTTAAGACTTATTCTATACTGACCAGGCATCTCAAGCCAATTGTGCCAAATTTGGAGGCAGGAAAAATAAAACTTAAATATACATTTGGGGCACTAAAGGTAAGAACGTATATAAGCTAACTTCGTGGAAGGTTCCATGAACCGTGGTGCCTTTCATCTCCACATATCAGCTGTTCCTCTTCAGGTTGTACTAGCTGCGCCCCTTAAGTAAAGTGCTCTGATGCCAGCGAGGAATTCTTGAATCAAGGTATAAGATGCCGCCTCCTCCTCAGATTGAGCCTAATTGGTTCCCAGGCACAGTATGTTTCCTCTGGGCTTACTGCTTCTGCCATCACTGTGATAATAGTAATACACCAGCTGTTGCTTAAAGCCTGCACAGCTGGCACCACAGATAGCAAGAGCTTGCATGAATAGAAGGAAAACAAGACTACTTGAAAAGTGATTCTAGTCAAATTATTGAGGTAATAAGAGGCTTTTCGACAGGTGTCGTGGAGCCTTCCATATTATGTAGACTTTGATATTTGAAAATATTATAATACACATACATGCGTGTTAACCTCATTCAGAGCTAGATTGAAAAATTCACTAGTTTTTGCTCACTGACGATATTGAAGACATGCCAGAAATATTAGATGTTCTGAACAGTCATTGGTTTAGCTATGGAATTTAACTTGGTTAATTTTTAAGCTGAATAAATCATCCTATTAAGTGGTCTTCTGCCTAAACTGTCTATCCTTCTAACCTTCAAAGACACCATCTTATTGAAGCATCTCTTATACACTACTTTCTTTATACGAATCTTAATCTTGCTTTGTCTCTGTAGATGCCTTCTTTTCTCATTACATTGTCAAATGCTCCAAACTTCAGAACACTTGTGGCTTGACCTGATCTTTATCTCCTCTCCTCTCACCTCTTCTCCTTTCCTATACTTTCTGTGCTTGTCCTTTCATATACCTAGATAGGTTCTGTCCTGGGTTTTTGGTTCCTCCCTCGTTGACTATTAACGCTCTTGCTGTGCTCCTTTTTTCTTTACTACTACTATGACTGTGAAGATGACAACTACTACTACTCCCACCTACTACTATCACCACCACCACCTACTACTACTATCACCACCACCACCTACTACTACTACAACCACCTCCACCTACTACTACTACCACCTACTACTACTACCATTACCTAATACTACCACCACCTACTACCACCACCACCTAATACTACCACCACCACCTAATACTACCACCACCACCTAATACTACCACCACCACCACCACCTACTACTACCACCACCACCATCACCTACTACTACTACCACCACCACCTACTACTTCTACCACCACCACCACCACCACCACCACCTACTACTACTACTACTACCACCACCACCACCACCTACTATTACTACCACCACCACCACCACCTACTACTACTACCACCACCACCACCACCACCACTACTACTACTACTACTACTACTACTACTACTACTACTACTACTACTACTACTACTACACCACCACCTACTACTACCACCACCACCACCACCACCTACTACTACACCACCACCACCTACTACCACCACCACCTACTACTACCACCACCACCACCTACTACCACCACCACCTACTACCACCACCACCACCACCACCACCACCTACTACCACCACCACCACCACCCACTACCACCACCACCACCACCTACTACCACCACCACCTACTACCACCACCACCACCACCTACTACTACCACCACCACCACCACCACCTACTACTACTACCACCACCACCACCTACTACTACTACCACCACCTACTACTACTACTACCACCACCACCACCTACTACTACCACCACCACCACCTACTACTACTACCACCACCACCACCACCTACTACTACCACCACCTACTACTACTACTACCACCACCACCTACTACCAC